TTTTTCCAGCTCAGTCACGTACACTTCCCTCTCTTTCTTGTACCACGGGCATTCCGCGACTACATGAACACGGTCTTCGCATTCGAAGCCGCAATCACATTTGATCTCGTCGTCTTCGTCGTCTACCGTCCTATGTCTTCGCGGACGTTTTCGAAGGCCTATATGCCTGGTCCTGAATTTGACCTTAAGCTTTGTTCCTGCATCCATTGGTCCATGTAGGTAGTCCTTGAACCCTATTCCTTCCTTCAACATTCCGTACACTTCTAGACCCTCCTNCCCTCCGTTTCCAGCGTTTCATCTTCGTCGATGTCGAGCCCCTTCCATACGTCCTCTACAACCTTGACCCATTGCGTGGGTTGTGTTGGGGGGGAGGGAAACGAGGAGAGACACAATGCACGGACCCTAGATGACGTACGCGTACCGTTGTGTGGTATGTTTGGGATGAACTTGAGTGCGTGCCCACGGTGACGGTTGTCTGTGTCTTTGTGTTAGTGTCTCTTTTTCACGTGGAAATGATGCGAGCTTCTAGCGACTCCCCGTAATTGTCGTACGTGTTCGTTATAAACTTGTAGGCGTGGCAAAGGTCGCTCGGGTAGGGTTTGCTGCTATGCTGTCTTGATCTCAAGTGGTGACGTGTGTCTTTATTACTAGAGCATCGACCGCGCTGACCGGCTGACCAATGAAAAGACGTCAGTCTTAGTGCGGTTGAAAACACAAACACTTCTATCTGCCATGAACTGGGACCCCGTGAGGGGGCAGCATGGGGGAGGCTAAACCATCCTTCGGATCAAAGACAGAAACAGCAGCAACAGGAGAAAACTGCACGCGTCTACCAAGGCTAATACATTGTACTCGAGTTCGTTTAGGAGTACTTTCACCATTGTCTCCTTTGTTGTTGCTACCATCATTCTGATCCTCATTTTGACAACAATCTCTGCCAACTCTTCCCGAGCCCTGCGTTTTTTGTTTTGGAGGTCATCTGGCTCAAACCCTTTGTTCTCTTCCACTCCTCCATGTTTTCCTGCTCCATCGTCGACTTCGTCCTCCTTCCTTCCCTTTCCCTTCCCTTCGTCTCCGTCACTCCCAAAAGAATTACCCTCAATACTATCGTTGTCGCAGAGATCCCAACCGATTGGCCCTGGTGGAAGTTGGTCGATCAATAGCCCATGACGTTTGAACACATCGCGAGGTCGCATCAACAGAAAACGAGCTAGCTCGAAGGTAAACCGTCTCCGAATTCTATTTGTGTGAAAAGCTTTCAGGCGAACTAACGCTCTTTCGTCGTCAAAATTTCCCTGGCAAAAGGCTTCGTGCGCCAAGTGGTTGGCGATAGCTACGATGAGTCGATTGGTGCCTTTGCCAAGACCACCATACAGTACGCTGAAAAAGCAGCAGTAAGGAGAGTAGATCTAGACGGGTTGAAAGTTCCCGCATAGTAATTTGCCTTACTTGCGGCTCGATCTTCGAGCGCGGATCCTGGCTTAAGGATCGACTTTTCGATGCTTCGACCCGCAGATGGNAGTACGCTGAAAAAGCAGCAGTAAGGAGAGTAGATCTAGACGGGTTGAAAGTTCCCGCATAGTAATTTGCCTTACTTGCGGCTCGATCTTCGAGCGCGGATCCTGGCTTAAGGATCGACTTTTCGATGCTTCGACCCGCAGATGGGTTGACGATTGTTACGTCTTTGAGAATGGACTTGGTGCAGAGCTCCTCTTCCTTCTCTCCTGCGTGTAATCCTGGGGGGATTACCAGATCCATCTTGCATAGTCTAACCCCTTTCCCCTACCAGTGCCTGTGGTAAACGGGGAAGAATCCTCAACGGCGATGGGCATATGGCACTCGCGCAGTGTGTGCTGTTTGCCCGCGCCGTCGAGGCATCACCCTATCAGCGACGCGATACGACAAACCACATGTCCATGGACCGTTTAGGTTGACGATTTTACGATTTTTCCTATTCAGCGCGTCGGCCTATTGGCTGTTGACAACCTTTTTTGTCACGGCAGTGAAGAAACACTTGTTGATTGTCATGGTGTTGTTGGTGTGTGTTCGTTTGGTTCGACGCAGACACGACCATCCGGTTTTCAGCTGCGAGAGGGACGAGAGGCAAGATGTGCATTTGGTCTCAGGCCCTCCAATGAGAAATTCATTTCATGAGATGACGACATGCTTGATGGTGGTCGTAGCGGACGGGGGCGAGAGGGCGGGAGGGGTTCTGCTCACCCTGTACGACCGCTCGGTGTCCGTTTGACGTTGCTTGGGTGGTGGTTTCGGGTGTATATCAGCACGGACACGAAAATCAAAACCGGGGAACAAAACGAAGAACGGTTTTCGGAACGGACTCTCCGGAATCTCCCCGCCGCCTGACTCGCAGGCGTTTGTCCCTAGCGGTGACTGGCTCCGCTATTTCTGTGTTGCAATCATTTTTGTCATTACTACTGCTAGTTTACGCGGATAAGATGAGTTGCGCTGGAGGTTGCCGGCTTGAGAACAGGGGTGGGGTGTTCCTTCCTGTCTGGTCTTCTGTCATGCGTTGTTTACAAAGTGCATGAGTTTCCGTGCTTCGTCGGAGGAGTAGCAAAGCTTTGATATAGACTTCTACGCGTAGGAAGGGGTGATCTTGCCTGTCACTACCTCTAGTGAAAAGGAGGTGTTAGTCCCGGACTTGTCGGTAAAACCAAGACGCACGCGCTCAGTATTGTGCGCTCGGATGAAGGCCGGAGTCGTCGCTTGAACGGACGCGACACAGGTGGACGCTACCCCCCCCTTTGGCAAGGTCCCACAACGTCCAAGGGTTTGACCTTGGGCAAGGAAAAAAAGTGCGCATTAGCTATGGCTACGAAAAACGAGGACGTTTGGCAACGTCCCCCAACCCAACCTTGGGTAAGGTTCGGAGTTCCCGAGAGGGCTGCGCAGGGCTCGAGGGAGAAGGGTTGCGTAAGGTTCGAAAAAATAATGGACCTTGTGCAAGGTAAAAAAGTGCGCATTAGCTATGGTCCCGAAAAACGAGGACGTTGGACAACGTTCCCAATCCAACCTTGGGCAAGGTTCGGAATTTTCGAGAGGGCTGCGCAGGGCTCGTGGGAGAAGGGTTGCGTAAGGTTCGAAAAAATAATGGACCTTGTGCAAGGTAAAAAAGTGCGCATTAGCTATGGTCCCGAAAAACGAGGACGTTGGACAACGTTCCCAATCCAACCTTGGGCAAGGTTCGGAATTTTCGAGAGGGCTGCGCAGGGCTCGTGGGAGAAGGGTTGCGTAAGGTTCGAAAAAATAATGGACCTTGTGCAAGGTAAAAAAGTGCGCATTAGCTATGGTCCCGAAAAACGAGGACGTTGGACAACGTTCCCAATCCAACCTTGGGCAAGGTTCGGAATTTTCGAGAGGGCTGCGCAGGGCTCGTGGGAGAAGGGTTGCGTAAGGTTCGAAAAAATAATGGACCTTGTGCAAGGTAAAAAAGTGCGCATTAGCTATGGTCCCGAAAAACGAGGACGTTGGACAACGTTCCCAATCCAACCTTGGGCAAGGTTCGGAATTTTCGAGAGGGCTGCGCAGGGCTCGTGGGAGAAGGGTTGCGTAAGGTTCAAGAAAACAATGGGCCTTGTGCAATGTAAAAACGAGCACATTGGACAATGTCCCGAAAAACGAGGAAGTTGGACAACGTCCCAAACCTAACCTTGTCGAGGACTAGTCTAACTAGGAGTTTGGACCCATGCATACTATACTATACTGTCGAACGAACCAAGAGGGACCTGACACGAGCACCGCTTCAACTACATACACACTTGTTCGCTCGTCCATCGACACGACTACACAAGAAGAGCGCCAACCCAAACCAACTCAATCGGTCAACGAAACACTCCAAAATCTCGACGGGCGATCAACTCCCCTAAAAAGCACATGTATGACGACGCTGACTCATTCTCTGCTTCCTGAGCCATCCTCCACAACGAACCCACAAAGAACGGTTGCACACAGCAGTTTGGTCAAGGTCACGGAATCAGGGCAAACAGGTGAATCCCTGAGGACGACTGCGGTGCCCACAAGAAAAGCACACGAAAGACGCGGTGGCGGCGACTTGTACGAATCTCATGTACCACTCACGAAACAGTCTCGGAATTCTACACTCCACCGCACCAACGAAGCGCCACTCGGCGATTAAAGAAAAGGCGACGCGAAGGAGCCGCACAGACTAGGTTTTCTAGATAACCATCGCTATAAAAGAGTGCCCAAGCACCGGAAAAAGCAACCAGCTCGTTGAGTAATGTACGAAGCAAAATACAAAAATACAACTGTGGTCGCAGTCCTACACACCAGCACTACGTTTTGTGGCACACACGAAGCCACCAGACGTTTTGCGCAAGCAATCACTCACGCGGTTGTCGTGCAAAGAAACACCTCGCATAAGCAGCGACGCTCCACAAACAATGACCCATGCACAAAACATGGGGTGTACGAGTTGCGCCCACGAAAAATATACAGAGACCGGTCACCGCCGCCGACGCTTTCTGACAAATCTTCACGACACAATCAGCTTGTTCGGCCGAAATAAAACGTTGTCATTGGCATACAAAACAACGCGATAAAAGCAGACACCAACCAACCAGCGCTCGGCGCGTGGAAGAGCCCAAAAACGTACCCACACTGTGTCGACTTCTAGCCTCTGCCTGCAGTCAGATGTTGCCACAAACAACGCAGGCGAAATGTAGCCCCTCGTCCGTCCACGCCAAAAAACTCTCCGACATTCTACACTTCTTCACATTCTAAACTTCTTCGCGTATAGGGTCGAAGAAGCGCGTTGGCAGCTTCGGCGGAGTCTACGGTCGTCGTCTTGGCCCTGGCCAGCTTGTGGTTCCACACAATCGCCATATTCTTGAACAACCTGTGGGCATGACACACAAGTTCAGGACGGGATGCATGCGGGGTGAGACTCGTCGCTCGACAGCAGACTGCAGCAGAGGCGAATCAGTACGTGAGTCTCGAGCAGAACTTCTTCTGCCAACAAGGCAAAAAAGGTGTTGCCGTCAGCAAAACAAAACACGACAAACCCGGTGGGAATAGGGACATTAAAAACTAAAACAAATACCATCCGGGCGCGGCCCAACAACAGATAGACGTAGGAAAGAGCTTGTCTCCCCCCGCACACATATCTCAGTGCTCTTTGCTGTTAGGTTTGACATGCCTCTACAAGCATAACTTCTCTTCCCGTCGTGCTGTCTTGAACACGACCGAACTACACACACACGGCACACACGGCTAGCGCGGTCGTTGCTAATAATGAAAACGATATTTTTTTTTTGCGTGTCTACACAATATCTTCACAAACCCAATCAGCGTACAAGTCTACTGGTGTCGAGGCAGCACTCGGGAAACAAGTCTCATCACCGCCCCAAATCACAAGCCCGCTACACGTGCTGCAGTACCGGAAACTCACTTTTCATTGAACTTTCTATCATTGTCGCCTCCAGGAAACAAGTCTCATCACCGCCCCAAATCACAAGCCCGCTACACGTGCTGCAGTACCGGAAACTCACTTTTCATTGAACTTTCTATCATTGTCGCCTCCGCCACCCGATGCGGGCGTCGTACGATCGCTGATCCAGGCTCTCGCGCGACCGAACGCGTCGAAGCTCGTCGACTCCTCCTGCGCGGATCCTTGGCTGTTGATGTCCAAGCCCTGCGCGGATCCTTGGCTGTCTAGGATCAGCTCGTTGCGCTCGTTGGTAAGATCCCCACACATCTCCTCGATGACAAACGTGGCCAAGGGGATGATCGCCTGGTTTCGGGGAAACATGAAAAAAAGTGGAACGAAACACACAAGCAGTGAGTGCTTCTGGTGGGTGCTATTTTCATCGCGCTTAATGACAAGCCGACCGCAACCAAGTCTATATGGGGGGGGTGTTAGTTATTTAATTACCTGTTTTTGGTTTGGGGAATGATTTTGGTTTGTTGGTTTTGGGGAGACGATGTGTATGGAGGCAAGATCAATTGTTTCAGGCGCAAGCGCCTTGCGGTCGACGCCCTTTGGCCATGTGCAAAAATCGCCAAAGCTGGGGGAGTCGAACTCAAGCGGGGTAAGGGTACGACAGAAGTCTGTCACCTAGCCCACGCGCGGCCCACTCTTCGTTAGAACTTGTGGTGAAAAACTCCCTTCTCAACAGCAGAAAACAACGAATAGCCCTGGTGCCAGGTGTCAGTCAGTGCAGCCCGGCTTCTGTACGAGCGAAATCGTGTGCGGAGGAACAGTTCCTTCTACGAATCCTCTCACACTTTGCCACTGCTCTGGCAATTTAGTTTATTCAAACAATCTCAAATATTAAGCAATTTTCGGTTTTTAGGAGACGATAGACGTCATGCAGGTTCAGCCGTTGTTGACGTCATGCAGGGATGGCTCAAATTTAATTAATCCATACAAACTCAAGTGAATTTGCAATTTCCGGCTTTTGGCACACGATAATCTAAAGAGACCCAACGGGCGGTCGCAAAAAGATTAAGCCAGCCACGCACATCACCACACACACACAGAGGAGAGAAAAAGCGAGAGAGAGAGAATCGACCAACTTCTACGCATATGCGAACGAAGTATTTTACTGCTGTTCCGGTGGAAAACAAAGATCAGCGATGACCACTTGAGAACGAACAGCGCTTCGTGTTCCTTTTGCGAAATGAAAATAGCACTAATGTATGCAGCTGTTGAATACCTGTACCGGATGTGGTTTGCACCTTCCCATGTATACATTCATCACGTCCCAAGGGCATCATGGGAGTCGAAGCCGAAGGCCCACCTATCCGCCCTTGCGAATGTGTTCGTCATTTTTTAAGCTGTTGAATACCTGTACCGGATGTGGTTTGCACCTTCCCATGTATACATTCATCACGTCCCAAGGGCATCATGGGAGTCGAAGCCGAAGGCCCACCTATCCGCCCTTGCGAATGTGTTCGTCATTTTTTCATAATACACTCCAAAAAACAACCTGGACTCGTCGAGTGCGAAAAGTGGTTTTGCTCGTAAACCCATGAACGGCCGGTGACGTGAGAAACGTCATCAATGAGCGTCCGCTTAGTGAGGTCTAGCGCTACAACATGAGTGTCTTGCCTTGTTCTGGAGGGTGGTGTCGGACACGCCGAATATTTCTGGTGCCGAGTATTCCTTGCGGACCGCAACCTTGTTTTTCTTGGGTATGAAGGCCGAGTGCTTCTGGCGCGTGTAGCTGAAGAGCTCGTCCGTGAGGTCTCCCTGGGTTTTGCAGCCCGCCTTTGCAGGGGGCCCGTTAGGCGTCGGCCCCAACTCGACCTGTACAGTGAGCACGTGAACGCAAAGCAAGGTGTCGAGTCTTCACAAAAGCACGTTTTTGACACAACGTAGTTGCCTGGAGACCAGTGGCTGCATAGGCTCTTCCGCACATGCATTTTCAAACACGGGGCGAACCACCGGTTCAGATTCTGACAATCATACCCACAGGCATCATGAAAGAGCCATGGCACAACCATTAGGTGCTCACATCTGACGTGATACCTATCGAGAGTGAACGGGAACAAACAAGGAAGCTCGGAGCGCCAACGTTTGTAAAAGTTTAATAGCGTATTTTGAAGAAGGGGCAATGTAACACAAAAAGGAGGGTCAGGCCTCGCTGGCACAACACAAAAAAACGCAACTTGTCGCGGAAAGCAATCAATCGCAGTCGGGCATGCCGTAGTCGTTAGACCATAGACCTCGCATCCCTACAAAGCCGGGACGGGGCACGCCGGGTTCTCACCGGACCAGGTTCTCACATCACCAAGCGCGAAACGCCGTGAGGTATTCGGCGAGTCGCATGACGGGTGCGCTGCATTCTGCCAAGGGTGTTGGGCATCTTGCGCCTACTTCCTTGCGTACGGACGACAACTTCGAAGTGACTAAATCAATTTTGTGGTGCTCACACAACGGGGTGCAATCATCCCCTTGACGCGAGGTGAGGGTTCTCGACCCCGCACAACATGACATACTCGACCACCATTGTGGTTACCGCCAAAAAAAAACTAAACTGAGGCAAAAGAAGAGCGGTAACCTGGTTGCCGAGCTCACGAAGTAAATAGCTTGTTGAACAACATCGTTGCCAAGCGACGAAAACCCAACCCCGATGGCAAACAACCAGGAGAGGGGGGTAGGGGGCTGAATCGTTCTCGCCATGAAATACCAGATCGGGCCCCCCCTCCTGTGCGACCCTGGCTGATACATTGATCCTACGCAAGAAGACATGAGGGAGAGCGTTGCCCTGCGGCGCTTGAAAACAGTCGAAGAGGGGGGCCAAACACACTTCATTTTACCCGCTGGGCACCGACGTTTGGTTTTTGGCCCATATAATGCAAGCACATGAATCGACAAATCGATTCAAACGTCAGGGTCCGCCGTCCTCGACGATCACCACGTATGTGGGATATTTCAACCCGTCTAGGCCTTCAGCATTGTTTTTTCAACGAAGCAATTCAGCGTTTCTCGACCTCAAGGCTTACCCTTCTCCTTTGAGCTAGCTCGTAAACGAACTCGTCCAAGCCTACCGACCGACAGAATCCCGTCATGTTGTACGTGTATGAGAGGCATTGAAAATATATCATCTTGAGAGTGACGTGAGAGTAAGAGTTGCGAACCAGATGACCTTCCTCACAGCAAACGCCGCGAGAAAAAGAGACGGCATGCCGAAAAGTAGTGAGTTATACAAGAATAATGCCCTTGTCTTCACTGGTCGGCGGGTTGGCGTGGTCGATGCTACCAATTTAGTCACACATACGGCATGCCGAAAAGTAGTGAGTTATACAAGAATAATGCCCTTGTCTTCACTGGTCGGCGGGTTGGCGTGGTCGATGCTACCAATTTAGTCACACATACACACGCAACACACACTTATCGCAATGAGAGGAAGGAACACCCATCGAAACATTGACACGAAATCCCTTTACGCTCGGAAAAACACGGCAGTATACAGGCAACACACCTTCTTCCAGAGTGCTACAAGCTTGTTGCCCTCGATCTCGGACAGAGGTGCCCGCGACCCGCTGCCGTCTTCGCCCTTCTCACGGTGGGAGGCCCGCTTCACCATGGTGTCGAACAGGGTGTCGCCCTCTTTGACATGATCATAGCTGTCTTGGGCAACGCACAGCACGTGCCCAATGCTTGCGAACAACTTCCGGCGTACCGATCCGGCGAAGAAGCTCTTGGCCGAGACCACCTTCTTCTTGACTTCGCCTGTTGTCGCGCGGTAGCGGGAATTGTTCCAGTGAGCGACCCTTGGTATCTACAGAGCAGCGCGGGGTTTCTGCCATGGTCCTTTTGTCAACTACTTTACCATGGTTGTAAATATTTGTCTGTGCAGAGGACGCGGACGGCATTGCCCCAGGCATCCTACCCTTGTGTCTACAACCAAGATGCCCTCAGTTTCAGGTTGACTTGGCGAAACACATCATGCAAAGAAGCAACACCACACAGTCTGTACACAAGGCCTGCAAGCGGCGGCTGCAAACGAGCAACGTCCTATACTTGGATGACAAAAGCCAAGAGCAATCCGACACACAGCAGTTGGCGCCTGCAATATCAAGAGGGGGAAAACAAAGAAACAGGGGCTCAATCTGGGCCACACTAATGTAGTAGGAAACGTCTACATGAGAAAACAGGAGCGAACGCTACGTGCCATATTGCACAACAGTTGGCTGACAGACGGGGGAGTAAGAAACCCCGTCTCCCATGTACTGCGTTGCTTTTTAGATCGGGTTGAGCACGGAAAGCGAGGAGAGCAGCGTTACAAAAGCAGGCAGAGAAAAATAAGAAAGTTGTGACACCACAAATCGAACAACTCACGCGGTGTTCTTAGCTCACACCAAAAACTCATTGTAGCTGAACGTACCCTTCAACATTGCTCCACAGCTACGTGTGCATGTCTCGTCTGGGCATGTGCTATCAGCCAACACCCACGAATTATTTGAGTTTGCCTCCATACTAACGATCGAAGGCCAAAAAGAACACAAATTAACTCGCACTTTCGACGCCGGTTCGGATCACATGAAGGAAGCTCCGTTCAGCCCGAAAAAAACATACGGCTGTGCTCGCTGCATTATGGAAGCAGTAAGACAACCAAGACACCTTGTCCCTGTTCACGTACTCAAGAACTGGTCCGGCGAGGCCGACGGAGTGTGGTCGTGGTCGCCCTTGTACGCCCAGTAGGCAGCCGCGGCTAGGGTGTCCCCCTCGATAGAGATTTTCCTCGTAGGGGTCGTAAGGGTTCCGCAGTACGGCGCCATGAAGTTCACCGCGCAGTCCGCAGCGCTGCTCACGGTGCTCGTGGCGGAGTTGCCGGAGGCTGGCGCTCCACCCGCTGGTACGACGGACGCTGCGCCCTTCCTTGCCGCCTCGTACACGTTTGTGAACAAGTCCAGCGGCAGAGCCGCCTGACGAACAAAAAGAAGGGGGGGGAAAGCGTATCATTAGTTCAAAACTGTCGATCCTCGATGGAGAACTCCCGACACACGCAGAGGGCAACGCATTACGCGTGCGCAGAACGTCGGGGAACAGCGAGCGAGAGAGAGAGAGAGAGAGGGA